CCTTGATGCTGTCATTGTGATGGTGAGTTCTCATGAGATAGGGTTGTTTGAAAGTGTCCCACTCTCTTCCTCCGGCTCCCAGCCATGTGTAATGCTGGCTCCCCACTTCATCTTCTGCCATGATTATAAGTTTCCTGAGCCCTCCCCAGAAGATGAGCAGATTACAGCATCATGCGTTCTGTACAGCCTGCAGACTGTGAGCCAATTAAACCTCTTTTCTTTATAAATCACCCAATCTCAGATATTTCTTTATAACAACGTGAGAACAAACTAATACAAATCCCTTCCAATTTCCCAAGATACTGTCATCTGTTTCCAAGACTTCCATCTATCTAATGACTGTCTATATTCTGATGAGTCTCAGAAACCACATCTACTACCTCTAAAGCATCAATGCTTAGGAATCACCATTTTTAAGGATACAAAATTGAACCAGCCATAGTCTCTCACAGCAAGAAGTTTACAGTCTATCAGGGCAGACTAGATGTGCACACGCATTGTGTTTTTCCACTTGGACTTTCCCATGCGGCCTAGCAGAGAACAGCTACTCAAGACTTAAGGTTTCATGGTTGAAACGGATTCCTTCCATTGCATAGAAGTGGCACCAACATGGAAGCGGGTTAAAACAGACACACCTAGAGCTTTCTATTTTATTTGAAACTGGATGAAGTTTAGGACAAAACAAAACTCCTTGGCTGGGTGCGGTGGCTCATGCCTGTAATCCCAGCACTTTAGGAGGCCGAGGCAGGCAGATCACCTGATGTCAGGAGTTCAAGACCAGCCTGACCAACATGGAGAAATCCCACCTCTACTAAAAATACAAAATTAGCTGAGCGTGGTGGTGCATGCCTGTAATCCCAGCTACTTGGGAGGCTGAGGAGGCAGGAGAATCACTTGAACCGGGGAGGTGAGGTTTTGGTGAGCTGAGATCGTGCCATTGCACTCCAGCATGGGCAACATGAGTGAAACTCCATCTCAAAACAAACAAATGAACAAACAAATAAACAAAATCTTGCCATCTCAGCTGTAAGTAGAACTGTATCAGGTGGTGTTGCTTAGCTGTAAGCCACAAAAATCGACTCCAGCTAATTTCAACTAAGAAAAAGAGTTTATTAGAAGAATAAACAATATGTCTTGGAATTGAAGAAAAGAACAGGCTAACCATTTTTTTTTTTTTTTTTTTTTTTTTTTAAAGCACCAACATCATTCTGGAAAACTGGGCAATATAAACACACAGATTATCATGTGTCCAAACCTGGGCTCAGAGCTACCTCTGCCAGAACTCCAAAGTAAATAAAGCTCTGTAGGCTAAGACCTATTAACTTTTAAAAAAAATCCTTGGCCGGGCACGGTGGCTCAAGCCTGTAATCCCAGCACTTTGGGAGGCCGAGGTGGGTAGATCACGAGGTCAAGAGATCGAGACCATCCTGGTCAACACGGTGAAACTCCGTCTCTACTAAAAATACAAAAAATTAGCTGGGCATGGTGGCGCGTGCCTGTAATCCCAGCTACTCAGGAGGCTGAGGCAGGAGAATTGCCTGAACCCAGGAGGCGGAGATTGTGGTGAGCCGAGATCGCGCCATTGCACTCCAGCCTGGCTAACGAGCGAAACTCCGTCCCAAAGGTAAAAAAAAAATTCTCAATTTATAAACTTAGAGAAGACTTTATTTCTTATAAAGGGTTATATCCTGCAAGATGGCCATCCCATAGGCTGGGAAGCGTAGCTTCTGCCTAGACCAAAGAGAGGCACCTCAAAGGAGGAGGAGGTGGGGCAGGAGTTTATGCCGAGCGGGTTGGCTAAACACACATATTCAACAGGTTAAGGAAGAGCTATGAATATTCATGAAGGTGGTCCTGATATATGCATATTGAACAAACACTCATGTCACTTGGGACCCATGTTCACGTTATGGTGGAGGCTTAACACTTAAATGTATTACAGTTAGTGTCTAAACGTCAAAACGTCTTTTTGGGATATGGAGCTACTCAAGTGTGCGGCCTCTATAAACTGGCTGGGACCAGTCCATGGCTAGTGGTCTTCGTATCAGGAGAAAGATACAGAAAGCAGTCCCTTGTCCAATCGAAGCTGTAGTTGTGACTGCTGGAACAGGAGGGTCAGTTAGTGTGTGGTGGTGAGCTAATTATGTTACTAATGCTTATCCCAAGGTCAGTGTTTGTTTAGCTGCTAGAGAAAAATAAAACCCTTGTGACAGTTAGAATGTAGTTCATTCTTTACGTGAAGGGGTGTCTGACTTAACCCTCACCTGACATGGTCCTAGATCCTTTTTATAATTAGGTATCTTATTGCCACAAAGAGTCTGTTCTGTCAGTCTTGTGGTCTCTATTTTTTTTTTTGAGACGGAGTTTTACTCTTGCTGCCCAGGCTGGAGTGCAATGATGTGATCTTGACTCATCACAACCTCTGCCTCCCAGGTTAAAGCGATTCTCCTGCCTCAGCCTCCCGAGTAGCTGAGATTACAGGCATAGGCCATCATGCCCAGCTAATTTTGTATTTTTGATAGAGACGGGGTTTCTCCATGTTGGTCAGGGTGGTCTCGAACTCCTGACTTCAAGTGATCTGCCTGCCTCGGCCCCCTAAAGTGCTGGGATTGCAGGTGTGAGCCACCACGCTCAGCCTTCATGGTCTCTATTTTCACATCAGTGCTAGTCAGTTGTGTCTGAACTGTGAAAGGGCATGTATTATAAGGCATGTCTGACCTCACATCCTATCATGGCTGGAAACTCAGTTTTAAGGTATTTTTCTGGGGTACCCTTGGCCAAGAAAGTTTGTTCAGTTGGTTGGGGCAGCAGTGGGGAGGTAGGGCTTAGGAGTTCATTTTTAGTTTACAGACCACAGTCACCTGCCACAATATTAAAAAGTGAGTTAGTCGATCACAGTGCTTGACTCATAGTGGGCATTCAATAGCAGATTTTTGAATGAAGAAATCAATGAATCTGGTTACTAGGTAGATTAGATAACACTAATCTGTGCCAGTGGTACTAGAATTGTTTCATAGACCAAGGTGAAACTTTCTGGGCATTTTAGTGTGGCCAACATGATGAATAAACAGTATTTCTGTCCAAATGGGAATACAGGAATACTGTGGGTCTCTGTCTTATTGGAATTCAGAAATCACCCTGGTTATTACCAAACCAAATAAAAATAAACTCAGAAGAAGCATCTGCACATCACAGTTGTTTTTTTTCACTAATGGAAGCATTATGGGATGTTGAGGGATGCCGGAGAGAATGCAGTAATGTTCCTTTGGATATAGAACACTTGAGATTTGACAGTTTCACATTTTTCTTTATTTCTGTGAAGGCAGGACCCTGACAGAGCTATATACTGCCACTCACTTACGCTGTTTCCTTGTAAATGGCAGTGAACGAAAGAGGGGAATAGAGACACCTTATTAATCAACTCGGCTACAATTTTATAGCACTGTGCCCAGAAGGACACACTGAGCTATCAGTGTCAGTCAGGAAAACACATGACTCAAATGAAAGACTGTAGGAATTCAACAGGTGGACAGGAGCCAAATTCCATCCAGCAGGCTCTGTGCCTTTAAGCCTGTCTGGGCAGCATTCATTACTCAAGATGTGAAATGGCCAACCCTATTGATCCACTGGAACATTTTTATATTTTGAGCCTTGTTTTAATATTTTCTTTTTCTTTCTTTCTTTCTTTTTTTTTTTTTGGAAGCATCGATTTCCAGGCACCAAGTCTGTTCCTCTACTTCTGTACTAAACCAGCACAAAACACAGTAGTTTAAAGAGACTATTTATTTGGCTCTATGGGTGGGCTGGTCTCAGCTGGGTGGTTTTCACTTGGGGTCTTTCAAACAGTTTTTTTTTAAAAATCTTCAACTTTTAAGTTCAAGGGTGTATATGCAGGATGTACAGGTTTGTTACGTAGCTAAATGTGTGCCATGGTGGTGTGCTGCACAGATCCCCTAGGTATTAAGCCCCACATGCATTAGCTATTCTTCCTGATGCTCCCCTGCCCCCACTCTCATATGGGCCCCTGTGTGTGCTGCTCCCCTCATGTGTCCATGTGTTCCCATCATGCAGCTCTCACTTGTAAGTAAGAAGATGTGGCATTTGGTTTTCTGTTTCTGTGTTAGTTTGCTGAGGATGATGGCCTCCAGCTCCATTCATATCCCTACAAAGGGCATGATCTCATTCCTTTTTATGGCTGCATAGTATTCTGTGGTGTATATGTACCACATTTTCTTTATCCAGTCTATTATTGATGGGTATTTGGGTGGATTCCATGTCTTTGCTACTGTGAATCTCTCATACAGTTTTGCGGTTAGATATTGATTAGAGCTGGGGTCATCTAAAGGTTTAACTTTTTTCTCTGATGTGTCTGGTGTCTCAGTGGAGGTAGCAGAGCTACATGGGTTAGCAGAGCTACTGGGTTAGCTGGGCATCACTCTCTTTTCATGTGGCCCCTCCATGGGTTAACCTACGTTACCCAAGTGCAAAGCACTTATAGGCCTGTGCAAACTTTCCAAGATCTCCCAGTGGAAGCCACAAGACTTCTTATGACAGCTTCAGAAGCCATGCAGAGTCACAGGCCTGTTGAGATTCAAGGAGCAGAGATTAGACGAAGGTGTGAGTTCCAGGAGGTACATCTCTTTAGGAAGGCATCTTGGGACTCTAGCAGAGAAACAGCAAAAGAACAAACATAACTCACTCTGTTTTCTTTTAAGGGACCTTTACTCATTCCTGCACGTAGCCTGGAATCATTTTAGAACGCTGGGATAATAAGGCACATGCAGTAATCGTGTAGTTTAAAAAACTAACTCTGGGATCAAGGAAGAAGTATGGAAACAACTAACTGTTTTGTTGAGAGATTTATATGAGCATTGTGACCTGACCAAGGACATTCTTTGTCCTTGTTCTTGAACTTCTTGTTCCTAACCTCCTTGGACCCTCACTAGTGCCCAGGTGTCTGCGGTGGTTGGCTACCTCTTTTTAAAATTTAAATTATTTTTTAAAATGTGGACCGCTTCAGGAACTTGCATGTCATCTTTGCCCAGGGCCTGCTATTCTTCTCTGTACCATTCCAATTTTAGTAAATGTGCTGCCGAAGCAAGCACTGCCAGTTACGTCTTGATCCTAGCCCCCGCTCCCCGCTCACCCTTGCTCTTAACATAAAAAGAGCCTAAAACTTGTTCTGAGTTAAGATGGTGCTTTGGGACAGTTGTCCACCATCTTCTTGCTTTGCTTGCTCTCCAGATAAACCAGCTTTTCTTCCCACAAACTCTTGCCTCCCGCTTTCAAGTGGTCAGCAGCTGAGCCCAGGTTCGGTTGTAGAGCAAGGGTGTGCTAAGTCCCTTCCCATGTATCTGGCCTCTGTAGGGACTGTGCTTGGTCTCACCACCCGTGCTGCGTGATTTCCACATCCTGGAGTCCTATGGTCTCCCCAGTTTTCTCTATTCCTTTGATCCGCTCGCACCTGCCTGCCTACCTGAGATATATTCTCCCGTGTCTGCCTCATGGCCTTGGTTCCTCTTACTGATCCCCAGATCTCCCCCACACTACACCCCTTCAGGGAAGTGGTTCTCGGCTGCCCAGGTCAGGCCAGACTCTTCTCTTGAAAATGTTCAAAGGCCAGGTGTGATAGCTCATGCCTTAATCTCAGCCCTTTGGGAGGTCAAGGCAGGAGGCCCACTTGAGCCCAGGAGTTTGAGGCTGCAGTGAGCTATGACCTTGCTACTGCACTCCAGCCTGGGTGACAGCCTGTGTCTAAAAACAAAGAAAAAAACTCTCAAAGAAGTGAGTTCCTTCCCTTCGTGAAGCTGACAGCAGTTTGTACATATATCAGCTGCAAGATAATTAGGCTAATGAACGCCTCCTCTGCAAATCACTTCAAAAGAGCAGCAGCAACTGTATTCCATGTATCTATTTTTTTAAAAAATCAGTATCATGTTTTCTACACTTAGTGCATAGTGGCAGTGCAGAAACCTTTGTTCAGTGAATGAATACATGAACATTCCTTTTCAACCTGCTGTGCTCTATGTTGGAGCTTCTTTTTCAAGATATGTGCTTATTCTATTGGGAACACATCTTCTTCTTCTTTTTTTTTTTTTTTTTTTTTTTTTTTTTTTTTTTTTTTTTTTTTTTTTTTTTTTTTTTTTTTTTTTTTTTTTTTTT